AAATAAGCTAATCAAAGTTTTTGATTTCTGTTGATCATGATGGAAGGTGCAACAGAAGAAAAACCAAACTAAAACATAGTTGCAAGATCTTTTTATCCCTATATCGAGAAGAATTTATGTTAATTTTTTTGTACTCCTTTCGCGTAAAATCCACATCTAGTGGTTGTATCTGAAATTCCTTTTGGGACCGTAGTAACTGAATTTTTGGACCACAACTTGGAAGGAAAAAAGGATGAGAAAATTACAAATTTTGGTTGGTTAAGGTAGAGGGGGTGAAGCAATTTACAGTCACAAAAGCAAATTTGGAGCATTGTAAATTTTTTCTCCAAAACCAGAATGTTCACAAACTTAGCCAGACGCTGAAAAATTGATTGTTCAGCTTAATCATACTGAGCAATCGATGTCTTTGGTTTTTTTGCAGTATAGCACAGAAAATAGTAATAATGAAATCATTCAATTAGTGATTTAGCTGTAACCGTGTGCATTCGTAATCTATCCTTTCTGCGAATATTATTTTAATACTGCAAATATAGGAACCCCATTGAAAACCGCACTGTCCGGTATCATAATGCTTTCTTTTTCATACTGTTCTTGATAATAATAATAATACTTTATCGTATGGATCGTAGATCATTTAAACGTTTAATTGTTAAATATATAGAGTACTACAAGCATTATTTAGTTAAAAATTAAGAGCTATCTAACATATAATATCAATTTACAGCAGAAGAAACATGCACCACTTGTATGTAGATGAGGTTACGCGGTTTGTTTAATGCGCTCTTCCTGTGCATCCATCTCGGCACGGATTTCACGCGGGAGATCAGGTCCAACCTAGCGAATGGATTACTGTATGACGAGCCCATAAAATATCTAATAATGGATTTTACCTGGTCTTCCAAGAATTTTCTAACTTCTTTGGCATCCTCGGCCCAGTATTCATGAGGTACTGACATGAGCTCGTCCCAGTTAATATTAGGAAGACCTTCTTCGTTGATCGAACCCTTCTTTGGTACAACACCAATCGGAGTCTCGACACCGATGTCGGGTTCCCCGTCCAATCGGC